CCCCCACCAGCTCCACCGTGGCCCCAAACTCCTTCAGGAAGCTACGCCAATCTCCGTCCTGCAACTCTTTCGGCCACGGGAGCCCCTTCCTTCGAGCAGGCAGCGACACCAAATGTAGTGAATGAGAACACAGGTGGGGGCAACCGAGTTGTATTTAACGAAAATTACAGAGTTACTCAGTAAAATCGGAAAACCATATCGTAAATTGTTCATTTGCAAAAGATCAGTTCATCCTTTGGAACTGGACAGTTCCTGTTGCCAAATGTCAATCCACTGTCACTATTCATGCGTTTCATACAAATTCCATTGTTTTCTAACTCTTCCTTTCTTGATCTTCCCACCATATTATGCTACCAGACCTTACGTTGACACTCACGTTATATACTACTTATAAGTATTTCGCACCACAGCACCACAGTATGATTGAGGATGCAATGTGCATCTCAGTCAGAAAAGCACTGAACATTTGAAGTAATAACTGGACTATGTGTTCCGCAACCCAGTAAACAATAAAGTAGACCACCACCATGTACTTTTGTTAATAACAAATAATCGCACTGATATTCAGAATATATTTGCTAATAAATTATCACTCCCTTCAATCATTCATCTAGTTATACTTGTTAGAAACAAAGAGTGTTTGGTTGAAGTGAGGCGTTCTACAGTCTCACTGCAAACAGCTTATCTGAGTAAATTAAAACGGATTGTTACAGCATGTGTTAGCATTTGGAAGTCAGAGTTCCAGTTGCATTGCACGAGTAAACGAAACACACTTTTATTCTAACGAATTTCTTTCGACGTTTCGTTTGTTGAATAATGACGCGCTATTGAATTTCACATCTATTCCGTTCTACTTGCATAACCTTTCACATTATTATGAATAAAATTGTTCATTCTGGTTATGCAAAGTACAACAACATTGGAGATAGAAATAATAACTCTGTTAATTAAATAATGTGTACTTTTATCATATTTTCATTACAGAAAACATCTCATCTATGAAAATACATAAAATATGTACTAATAAATTTTGCATAACAAGCATAGAAATAGATTTAATGTAACACAGTTTAATAAACATTATTGTATGCAAAAGTATGTGAATAATAATAGTAGTAATAATAAAACTGTGAAAACTCTATAGAACAATTTCGTTAAAAACACTCATTTAATTCTAAGATCAATGACAATGTTTATGGTTCTGATTGAATGAACTCAATCTTCACAATGCACTCGAAAGAAACCATAATCGTCAGGTTGAACATTGCCTTTATTCATTAAAGTTACAATGACATGAGAATTAGGATGATTGGAATATAGTGTTTTTTAATTATGGTCTTGCGGAATGTATCCAATGTGTTTGACTGTTCCGGCTGTAGTCAGTAGAATGGAAAAGTTAGTTTGTTGTCCGTGTGCCTTCAACCGTCTCGCCAATTGTATGCAGATATCCAATATAATTTTCAAATATCGTTGTTTATTATATTCATCTATCTATATGACTGTGCTCACGTTCATACATCATCCCAATTCGGTTGAACAAAAGTCATAATAAGCTATTCTATAGATATTTCATATCAAATTTTACACTCAAATAACCGATGATGATAGAAGCGTGACAAGTGATTCATTTACTTACATCTCAACAAATAACACAACAGCTGATGGAAGAACACACAAAAACAGGTGAAACTTCATCATCAAAATCATTCCATGCATTATTTCGTGATGTGAAACTGATACAGATTTGTGATTGATGAAAAGTGTAGTCAACGGCTTCCAGAGTTTCGAAATAATAGAGGAGACTTGTGGATCAGACGACATTTCATTCTGTGAAGTAATTTCAGCTGGTTCGCCTTGTTTACACATCACAATATCATCGAAACACATCTCAGTGTTCTGTGCGTTGCAAAATGAAAGGGATCAAAGTGAAACAATATATTCTCAGCCTGGAACAATGGAACGGCAACCGGGAATACTGAACAGTCAAAACATCTGTTCTGTGATCATTTTGATTCACCACTGTTTCGACAATATAAATTACCCACATGATGTAATATGCATCGTGAAATTACTGTATTTCCTCAGTCTCTCAGGGATAAAAGGAATCTAGTCTAATTCTAATTGGAGCAATCATACAAGGCAGAATAATATTCATTCCACGTCACACTATTGAGTCGGTTAGTGTGCTCAAATCTCAAGAACTTAATTAGCAATGATAAGAATGACTTGAATAAATATCACTAAAAAACATACCATTTTCACAAAAAAACAACTGATCATTTATTTAGAAAAACGGAGGTTTATCAGGTCAACACAAATAGAGAAAACAAAATGAATTTGGATGCCAAAACAAAGATCTGAATATGGAGAAGAGACGACAATTCTAGTTTACTCAGCTCAGTTTGTTTGAAAGAACGCTGGAGAGTGACCACGTCACCGACTGATCTGAGTATGTCAAGAACATCAATTCTTGAAGAAGTCAAAGTGGAAAGAATTTCAAATTGCTTAGGATCGGCATATCGTATGATTGAGGATGCAATGTGCATCTCAGTCAGAAAAGCACTGAACATTTGAAGTAATAACTGGACTATGTGTTCCGCAACCCAGTAAACAATAAAGTAGACCACCACCATGTACTTTTGTTAATAACAAATAATCGCACTGATATTCAGAATATATTTGCTAATAAATTATCACTCCCTTCAATCATTCATCTAGTTATACTTGTTAGAAACAAAGAGTGTTTGGTTGAAGTGAGGCGTTCTACAGTCTCACTGCAAACAGCTTATCTGAGTAAATTAAAACGGATTGTTACAGCATGTGTTAGCATTTGGAAGTCAGAGTTCCAGTTGCATTGCACGAGTAAACGAAACACACTTTTTTTAAAGTCCAAAAATGTTAGTTTAAGATGATTTACAGTAAGTACATGTGACAGGCGATTCTCCACCGAAAACAGTTATCATGCTTAGGAAGAAAATATCCAATAATTTAAAGAAGCATGTGGCTTAAGATCGCAGTTTTTTCCTTAGAATATAAGTATTTTTATTTATAACAGCGGCTTATATAAGTAAATTGTCTATTTATTTGTAATCGTTTCTTTATGTTTCGATCAGTATTTTTGAAACATGAACAATAGGATGCGTGATCACAATTTGATGATGATGATGATGATGATGATGATGATTGATCAGTGGGTAATCACAGGTTCTGAGTTCGCTAGTCCTTGGTTATGATTAGATCATTTTGTCCAGGTTGTGGTAGGGTCACTAGTTTAAGTAACTGACTCAACATCACTAGGATTAGGTATTTTTGTTAAATATTTGCAGACAATCACCACAAATCTATGAACTTAGGTTTCGGGCTAGCTGGCAATACTCAGCAAAGCGTTTCTCAAATGTTGAGTGAACTGATCTCTCCAGTGTGATTCGAGCTAATATTAGTTTATATTGCCGTTTGAAGTATTGATACTATACCTCACAGGCTGGAACTTAAATTTCGTCATGATTATAAGTGGAACCATCAATTTTCAACCAGCACAATGTTAAAGCCTGAGAGGGTTTCTTGCTGACCACTTCCAACTGTCTAGAATCCACACCTTCCATTCCTTCGATTAGTCTCACAATTTTGTATGGTTGTAGGGTGGATAGAGAAAAATTTTATGACCATTTGAATGTGTTTGGTTGAAAATTTGCATTCTTTGTATATTGACCAACATCGCAAATGTTTATACGTATTTATGTTCCTTCCGTCTCCAGTCAACAGATAAGTAAATAAACCTGGATAAACTGAATGATTGTTGACCTAATAACCTGAGACTAAATTCTGTCTTATTCTTTCTTCATGTATCCCACCAATTCACATGGAATTTAACCCACAGCATTCAGACTCTATGGTAAAAGCGTGACCACTATACTACTTATTTGTTATCAAGTAGTTTACATCCGTAACTTAAATAAATTTACGATATTCTACCATCATTATCCATTCCCACTGGTTATATTTTTCTCTCGCGCCCACATGATTCAACTCAAACAGTCATGATGTTCACCAGGAGGAAGCAGTTCCTTTATGATTACAGATGAACCATGTTGATAAATTTCATGAACCCTAGTTCACGTAATGTTTCATGTTTATTACCTCCAACAGCCTAACATCTATAATGATAATGATAGTAATAAAACTAATAATACTATTAATGAACAGTTAAGTGTTTTCTAGAGTTAAAGGATTATTTTTCTTATTTAAAACTTCATGTGTAAACTAATCACTTGAGCAGATTTTTGTCAGTCATTTTTTTCTTAGCATTTTGTATTTAACTAAACTAATTAATTTACTACAATTTTTCGCTATTTAATAAAATTAATTCATTAGTCTGGTAAGCGGTAATTAATAAGAGTTCACTTTTTATTGAATATACATAGTTCAATTGACAGAAATTGATCATAATCCATACAAATCCATTGTTTAAGTAAAAGACGTCACCTCTATTGAAACAATTGACAAATGTCTTTGTGTATTTCAAATAAACTGATTTAAATGAACATAGATGAGCTAGGTGCTTTTACAATTGACTGTTGTATACTTTTCTCACTAAACAGGTATCACGTATGAGACAGTTTCCTACTAAATACACACGAACATGGTCGACAAATATTGTTGAAGAGAAAAGCTGAATAAAATGAAGAATTTGAACCACGCATTTAAATGCCGTTAGTGGGTGCTAATAACTGGCATGAATATAACTTGATGAAATTATAAAATGCTCAATATTCATCACTGGTACACAGAACACTGATCTCTTTATTTTATTGCTTGTTTTAAAATGTTCACCATTCATGATAACATACTTATTGTATTTCAATTTTCAATGTTATTGTCAAAGTCTCATGGCAATCTTCAAATTGTCTGATCGTAGACAATCTTTTGAATGCATACAATTTTTATAGTCATCATTGATTTGTTTGTTTTAGTTGAAAACAGTTGTCTTCTACAAGAAAGTAATGTCAACGAAAATTGCACAATCTCATGCATTTGTTGAACATTTCATTGAAAAGTCGATAGTGAGTCGTTATCTGAACTGTGCTCATGAAAGTCCATTACGTGCAAAAGTACAAACCATCTTTTGTCCTGAGGACTGCTAAAAATCTTTAAATTTCATACACCGTCTTTGGTAGTTACTGTCTACACCCAAACAGGTTAAACTTCACTGGTCACGACTTCCCACTAGAAGTCGGTGAAGATTCCTCACGGAGCTAGTCACTAGTGAGCACAGGCAATTACGTTATCGTATTTTATATTTCTTACTACTATCAACATTTACTGTGCCTATTATGTGTCGTGACGTAATCTGTTTCATTTCATTATGTTTATTGACTCGAATTGTCTTAAATGGTTTAACATTTTCATATCAATATTCATGTATATTACAACAAAGCTTGATGACGATATTATCATAAACAACATTGTTCGCTTGTATGTGTTATTCTGATTTTCACAATGGGAATCCTCAATACTATTCAACCTACCAAAACAAACGAATTAAACATTGATTATCTTTTAAACAGTAACTAATTTGAATTTTGTCCAGTTGCTAATGTTCATTGGATTCCGCCTATCGAAATAACATAGTTCAATTGATTTGATATTGCGTATACCAAGTCGTAGAAATAGAATCATTGATAGTTTCAGGAAATTAGATATAAAGAACACGATTCACAGAGTAAATAACGCAGAATAAATGTGAAACTCGAAATTCAACGGAATACAAAGACTCAACGCATAGTTCTCACTGAAGCTAATTTTGTAGCTACCTGACTTGGCTTCTTAAATCATTGACCAGATTAACCTCACAGACCCCAAATATCTAGTCTGGATCTACCTCCAACAGTCGATAATCTCCATTGATCGACACATCGTTTTGGTTTGGTGAAGCCCAGTTTTCTTTCAACTATTAATACTTTACCAAACATCATTTGTCTAGGGAATCGATGATTGAGCGTGAACAATAATTGTAATAGCTAGTCATTCCTATTAGTCAATAATAGTTATGCAGTTCCTAATAACAAAGTGAATCAGTTTATTTTTCAATTTCTTTCAAAATGTCTCTGAATGTTCTGCATTGAATTTTCTCTTGAAATTCTATCCATCCGTTCATTACTTGTCATACTATCAAATTGAACATGTTGATCATACTTTCTTGACTTGTTCTATGTCATTTTTATTGTTGTGAATTTAATTCATCCGACTAATCATTCAAACTTAGTTTTGCCAATCTAATACAAACAACAATAATTTCACATTTACACGTAAATTTTATTCTCATCAATTAAAATTTGTTTTACACTGTGATCTTGTTGTAATCGGTCAATGTGTGACAAAAAGACACAACAATAATGACATGTAACATTGAACTATGCACATGTGATATTGTTGACCAATTAGTAAACAATTATGCGAAATTCATATAACCATCTGTATACCTATCATCGGTTTCTCGCCATCAGTTTTTTTTATTTTCAAAAAATGTCGCAGTTATAGATTGACTTTAACTGGTTGTTTCGACTATTAACATTAATCCAAGGTGTAAGAGTAATTAAATCCTGTGATCGCCATACCCTTCTTGTAGTAATAACATCACGATAATCCGAACAAACTCTCTAATCACACTGTTTGTTAGAAACGAAATTTGACCGAACTTGCTTTATTCTAACAGAATAAAACAATTTCATTGTGTTATACTACCGTATGTATAAATTTGTTCAAATTTTTTATATAGCCTATCTACAATGAACTTGTCCCACCTCGACCAATTCTTGTGAATTCTGTCGTGTCTTCTACAAATGCAAATATTGTGAAATTATTTTGGTTTGCACAATATCAAAATATAACTAGTACAATGAATCCAATTGTATTTATATTACAAGCAAGAATATGTATTTGTAAAGTATTCAATGAAAGTTATGCATCAAAATGGCAAACATTAATTATGGTAAGTAATTAGAAAACACTAATGTGACATGCATTAAACAGAACTGACGAAAAAATTCAATGCAAAATGCACTATTGTTTATTGTCAGTAGATGTCTCATTTAATGGCTACAAATATTTACATTACAGTATTGACAAAGAGAGATAGTTCGAAATTAGGCCAAACCACTGTTCGACATATTTTTATTGCTACTAGTTCATGAACCAAACTTCAAACGGAAGCTTCTCCTAATTGAAAAAAATTATAATATTCCGGTTTTTAGAGATGACGCTTCATTTCATCCATACACGATTACACTGAAAGTCAAACATCTTTCCAACTGAATAGAATTTTCGGAAAATGTACTTTTTGCCAATGATTTTTATTTAGTTCAATGTATATAGGTGTCTGTGTGTTTGTATGGTCATTTTGTATGCATTTTTTAGACTCATGAGTTTGGAGTGAATCTTGAGGCATTTGAACCTGGACGTTTGTATCAATTTCGTATTGCTGCCGTCAGTATTCATGGTACAAGAGGATTCGGTTTAAGCACGAATACTTATCCTGTAGATCCAATCAGACCATCACCACCAGGACCACCCAGAAATGTAACCGATTCAATGTGGAGGTTGTATTCATCTGGTAAGATAAATCTTCTACTAAGATGGCAACCACCGGTACGAAGTGATCTACCGTTAACTGAATATTTGGTAAGTTGAAATTTGACTCTTGTCAATGCAATGTACTACTAGTTTATTCATTCAAAGCTCAAAATGTTGAGTCTGTTAACAAAATGATTCATTGACTGATTGACTGACTGATCGATTAGTTGGTTGATTGATTTTATCAATTATTTTCATTGTTAGATATCTTGGTCCATTGATCATGGTTACTTAGAAACAGATGGAGGAACCCTAGAAGCTCTTGTTCAGTTCACTCAAACAATCAACGCGGTAAGATAAACTTGTGAAAGCATATTTTATCAAAGACGTAGTTTACTATTCATTGAAAAGAAATACATCAGTAATTTGCAGTTAATTCGAGAGGCAATCCAGTTAGCATAGTGTATTTGCGAAAACAGTTGATCCTATTACAAGTGTTGAGTTTGACGGTTTTAGGGGACGATTTGATTAGAAAACAGTAATCAAAACAGGCTGATACCGATTGATAAGCGATTGTGAAGCAAAGTACACTGTTTAATTACATTGCATTACCTTGTGATCATTACTGCTCAGATGGCAATCAAAACGTTGCATAAAATCAAAACTCAAGTGTCGTTAGTATCTTGAAGTGGCTGTTACATTTTCACTATACGGACTGAAATCGCTCGTCAAATATTCTCCAACTTTTGCGGGTTCATGATACGGTCTAACAAGTATTCCATGATATAATTCGGTAACTTCCTCACTATCATCACATCGGAACTTCTCCACTGTCGAAAACCATCTTCAGTTCATGAGATATTTTCCACGGTCTTCATGTAAGACTCCATTAATATTGTTCAAATCTGATGTTTATATCTAGTCGACTAAAAGTTTTATTTGCACAACTTCATCTCGAAAACCGTGACTCTTCTCCACCATCTTAATGACAGAATTGCTTCACACGTCTTACAGATCTTAGTTATACTGTCTATGCTTCAATACGCCTATCAATTTCATTTAAATGAGAATAGTATATCACTGATTCAAACAAAGTTTACGCTTATCGTTCTCACAATTTTAGAAGAATCTGTAATATATTTGAATAAATAATGCTATGTGGATTCTCTCTGATTTAAATTTAGGAACGAACAGAGTGTATTTTGCATAATTTGAAACCGGCAACCTCATACAAAATCCAAGTAAGTGACATTGTGTTACTTTGAAATCATTCAGTAATTTAAAGTTTCCCGTATATTTTAGAACAGTGGAATTCATGTGAACTATAATTTATTCTCTTGTCATATCATGTTTTAATTCATGAACATTTTGATGGTACTTAATAAAATGAAATAAGGTCGAAGATATGTTATTGTTTACTCCGATTCTGTCTGAGTAATTACGGTCATTGCAACTAGTAATGTTGACTGATGTGACTATGGATTGATCGCTATCGTTTGAATATGTTCATTTTTTATCTTCCCTCTTGATGCTCAGTTCTAGAATTCTTTTATTCGAAACACTTCTTTCTATCGTTGTTATTATTGTTATCTTATGTTGACAAGATCATCATTCGCTCTTGTAAATTGCTTCGGTTGTGCTGTACTATGTATGGCATAGCAACCCGAACCAACACGGATTTACTGTAAATGAACGTAGATTACAAATTATAATTAAACAACCAAATGTGTTTCGATTTATTTCGGGTATGCAAAGCAATGATCACACACAGTCTCATACATTTCTGTTGAATTCAAGTGTCAAAGTCTATAAATGCTTTACCCATCACAATGGTCATCTTTTAGTCACTGTGAATATATGGAGGTACTGCATGGTTGTAAAGTTAAAAGGAAATATAAATGCAGTTTTGCATTTCATTTAAACACTCATATCCATAATGTTAGTGTCTTGTCAACTTGTGGTTTGCGTAACTGTAGCAAATTTCAAATTGGGAAGTCAGTTGAATTCAACTTGTGAGTCTCAAATAACATAAAGATGCTTTATGATTTTGCTATTACCCACCATGCTGAAATATAGTCACTTTTTGGCTACGGGCGTGTGATCCAATCACTTTTATCATCTGTCAACAGAGAATGATCAAGCTGAAAGTGTGAATATGAAAAAAGAAACGTATGCAATTTTAGATGTAATGATGTGTACTGATAATTTTGTACATTTGTGTTTCCCTTTATTTCATCAGGTGAGAGCGATCGCTCATTGGCATGGATTCGGTAATCTCGAATCTCAACCAAATACAATATTTCTTTCCACTCAATCCATTCATCCAGCATTTCATCAACAAACTGTTAATCCAATACAAATCTATGCTACACCGAATACAAGTATGTCCAAATGTAGTTCAATGTGAAATGATGATTACTTTTTATGAAAAACAAGTATTTGTACGATCTTTTCATAACAAGCTCAATTAGGTGTACCCAGAACATAAAATCTCAGTGACCAACACAAACTAATCAGTATCTGGTTTCAATAACTCTTAGTTAAAACACTACGTTTAATTATTTGGAATTATTCTATGAGCGATCGTTGGCTTCATTTACACTCGTGTTTCATTCTCTGATTGAATCAAAAAAGAGAAAAATTGATTCTTTTATCATTGACCATTTACGTGTACGTAACTGACAAAGTGCAACTATGGTGGTTTCGCAAACAAACAAACTGTAATATAATGCTACATATCTTAAAGTGTTATTCAGACTCATGTACTCCTGTATCAATAAGTAAACACAACATAACGATTTGCTACAATTGGTTGTACAAGGCTGTATACTACACTCAGAAATTATGTCATGTAGAAGATTAAGAGAGGGACATTAAGTTTCTACTTATAAATCATTGTTTTACAATCGATCGTTTAGGAAGTTGATAAATCGATTCACCGTTCTTTTGAGTTGTCGAATTAGTTACAAACTCCATTATTTCTAATGATCGAATATACTTTCAAAGATTGTTATTTTCGGATTCACAATGAATGCCCATGTATATTTATTCAAATGTGTGTTTTGAACTATTTTATATTTCAGTCAAATTACCAACAGAATTCGCGCTGAAATCAAAATCATCAATCTGTGAATGTGGAAATGGTCCACAACCTATACTGCTGAAGAAAATATTCTACGATAACCATACATTAAAGGCTGTACTACAAATTAATATGAGTAAGTTCCTCTGTCATCTTCTATTTTGTTGATATTTTCTAGTCTGGACATCAGTAGGTAGTATTCGATCACTATAGGAGAAGGAGAACTGTTGGCTACATGTGAACATTTAACTACACATGCAGTCACTGAGACTCTCCATTGCTTCTCATTGTCACATAGTGACCTAACTTACTCGCCGTCTGTAGAAATAATTCCATACTGATGATAAATTTTATGCTGCGAATGAAGATGTTGTTCCGTTCGAATCATAGCGCTTAAAACCGTAAACAGTAAAATACGAAAATGAAGAGTATCAGAACTATATGATACCTTAGCTGAATACAATAAGAACACGCATTCACTTGTTTTCGGGTTATTTATGAAAAATTAAAGGTCCATTGAAAGATAAGAGTGAAACAAAGATAATGAGGTAACTTATGTGAAACACATCACTGGATAATAAATCAGTAAACCATAGTGTTTATCATTCACAGATTGAATACAATGATGTTATGTTAGTTATGTGAATTGAAGTCATCATATCGATATAACTGTGAAGAATGAACTTTGCTCATAATGACTGTTAGATTCTGTTAGGCAAAACTTGAATGGAGTGTTAACTCATTATATCACCATATGATTATCTGTTTGTCCATGGTTTGTTTTTGAATTTAACATAGCCATAAAGAAGGAAAACACAACAATAATCGAATGGTATCCACAAGTGTGCATTGATTCAAAGAATATTCTATGGAATATGTCACCTTCAACAATCTTGTTAAAATCTACAGTATGTTAAATTTACATGTTCATTCATTGGTGCTGTTGATGTTCCAGAGTATGTATTTTGACATTCTCTTGTTTGCTTTCTATCCAGCTATTACATTCATTTATCTTATTGTATGATGCGATTTCCTCAATGCATATCCATGTCTATCGATGCAATAATGATCGACTGAAGTTGAAAATGTGAGCTTAAAGAAGTAATATGTTCACTGTGGGACTTGAATGTTCTGATTTTAATCGTTGGCACAGAGTGGCATATCAAAATTAGACAATCGCCCAGTTTTTATCTATTTCTTTGATGAAAATCTCTACTTACAGTAAATTTGAACGAATGGCTATTAGAAACAGTGGGTTATTTCAACTTGAACAAATGTTGGGCGATTTCGGTATTCGCGATTGTGATTCAAGTAAAGATACTCACACAACTGTAGATATTTCGGTTGGAAGTAATTTCTCATCAAATGTATGTTGTTATCATCGCAAGGTGGTCCCAACACATTATCTATACCTACTGACAGAGTGAATTTCATTAAGAAACACTGTTTTTTAAATGCATTTCAGAGGTGATAATAAGAGAGATAAGATAGTCATCGTATTGTAAAGCATCAAAGTAAACAGATATATTCAACTTCTAACTAAGTCAATCATGTGGAGTTGTATTAGTTTTAAAGAATATTCAGTGAGCACCATTTAAATTGAATTGTCTTCGGTTGCTTTTGATTTGCGTCAAAATTCAGTATTCGATGCATCTTTAATCGATAATATTGATTTTCAGTCACTTATTATTCATCGGAAATTGAAATCTAACAACATGCATCATATTCAATCTATGTGGAATCAAGTATTACAATCCACTCACTTTGTCAGTGACTTTTTTCGACTAAATTCTCTGAAACTGTATCAGAAGGTTACATTGAATTCCCCTATCGAAATGTGAGGGAATTTCCAAGAAAATATTGTGACGACTGTGGGAAGATGTTTCTAATAGTGGTTATGACCATATAAATACGCAAAAATGGGCTGATTTACTTAATCAGTACGTATTTTGGAAAGGATTCAAAGCTTGATACTATTCATATACCATGTGAGACCACCGTATGCATATTAATTGACACTTTCACAGTGATAGATAGATAGTTTTGTTCACTCATCAGATAAAATGTGTGAGAATTTCGAAGTTGTCCTTTCAGTCACTCCAGGTCGTGAGCACAGCATCTTTCTGACAGAAATGGGCATATCCATATTATTTTTCAACGTACTTCCATTGAGAAGATTTGTCAGCATAAAATACACCTTTATGTTTGTTGCATTATCCAGGAAAGAAAATTTTAAACCATAGTGAAATTCTAAATAAATATCACAGGACTTCTACCAATGTTCAGTATGAGTCAATTTGCTGAGAATGAGTCTTTCGATTTTATTTACTAACGTGATTTATTTTCATAATAGTGGATGACACTGCTGAAAATTGCAAATTACGATTTATAAGTTTCGTTAGTTTCATTCAAGTCTTTTTTTCTCAACATCACACTGTAACTAAATGAACTAAATTGATAATCTACAGCCTCCCGTCCGCACATTCACGCGATCACGTTATACCTGATTACTATCATAAGGCTTACTGTAACTGATTTCCGTAAATGAACACACATATTCGATTGATTATTAAAGCTGTAAGTAAATTTACTTTCAAAAATATTAACTGTTTATTTCAATTCAGTAGACAAATTATTTTGACACATTTTTTCCATAATTTTTTTCTAGCATAGAAGAGTTGTATTTGAAAACCTTCATTTTAACTGTCGTTATTGTGTACGGATTCGTGTATATCCAACAATTTTAGATGAAACGTATTTAAATATGATAGAATCAGTTGTTCAAGTTCAAAATCAACAATTGAATCCATTTACTTATTATGGATGTTTTTGTACACTATCTTGTTCAGATATTCTAACGAAAGAAGGTCAAGTACCAGATAATTGTATCTTGTCAGGTAAGTTAACTTGAAGATTGTTTTAAGATGGAAAGAGTAGTTATTCATGCGCATGTCATCAGATCTTTATGAATCAAGCTTCATGCAGAATGTAGTCGATGTTTGTCAATTACTGGAATAAATTGAGGTGTCATAGAAAACCAGCACCCAGATCCCAACGAGACTTCATGACTCTCAGGACCTAGCCGTGACGACATATTACCAACCATTCCAGATAATCAACCTACTACATCATAAACTGATCGAAGTTGAAAATATGGACCATGATTTTTCAACTAAATACTGGCATTGATTAGAAATCCCATGATAAGATGAGCCAGTAGTTTAATGTTTCTTGATTCTATTAGTATCTCAGCTAATGTCAAACACTGAAGAAAACTGTCACACGACAAGTGAATTGATCTCCATGAAATCTTTCCCAACAACATTACACAGTACAACTGTGATTTTTATAAATAATAGTGTATCAAGGAGCGTTGAAAACTTGACGAATCTCCGCAATAAAACGTGTCGCTTTTCAGTAATATGAATTAAAATCTGGTGAGTTAAGTAAATCATGTTCGTTGAAATGTTCATTCCTCAGAAATATATGTAAGGCTTATTAAGGCTCGAGTGGGATAAAATAGAAAATTCTTGTTTGAGTAACCCAATATAAAGTGCCATCACACATGGTCACCAATTGTTGACTAATGTAAATTGTTGGACTTGTTGAACGATGTCTTCTGGAAACTCAATGCTAGCACATTGGTCTCACAGTCGACACAGGTAAAACAGCTAGTTTTCGAAACTAAAGATAGCCTATTAGTTAAATAACCATAAAACCTACAGAGCATTTCTGTATAGATATTCAGGTTTCGTTTTGAATGCCTTTGCTGATGGAGCTGCTATGTTCATAGTGCTGACGTGTTCAAGTTTATCATTATCTTTATTTGAGCATAAAATGGGCGCTGAGTTTTGGCAATTGAGGTGTGAGAGCATGCACTTGTCCCAATCAAACTATGTAGTGGCATGTGAATCACAACGGACGTTCTTCAATCTTTGCTGAGATCAATGAATTAAGTGACTGTTAAATAAAAGTACCAGTTTTTCATCTCTAACTATATGATTCACCTACAAATAACAATATTCATACACGTTTCAGCACCCGAACCACCCTCTCCACCAACGCAACTTCAAGCTAATCACATTGGTAGTTTAAATTATCGAATATCATGGATACAACCGATGACGACGACTTCAGATAGAATAACACGACAAGTGGAAGAACATTCAAGTCTCTCTGCTTCTGTCTATAGATTCAACAGAAATTCAACCAAATATCGAATTACGTGGGCACCGAGAATTGACGAACCAGTAGATGAATCAATGTACAATGATGAAATCGGTTTCAGTCCAATAATGGATTTGCAACAGATTGATGTCAGAGTGATAGACGAGGTAATTGACACACATGTGTTTTTTCCTCGCTAATTATTTTCCTGTTATCATCAATGAATTTTATCTAGTGAACTGTTCTTTATTACTCGAGATTTCACAACACTACCAACAGATTAGAATCAACTATGCTTGACTGGAAAGGAAGGCACATGACTGAGTAGGTTGTAGAATGCTGGTCGGTGGCCTATGCTCTAATAGGGATAACAGGTTTGAGTAAGTAGCTAAGTTAGTAAGTAAGTACCTTATTGAAGACTTCATAATTTTGAAACGAAAAACAACAGTGATCAAATTGTGAAAATGTGTGCAGTACTAGCAGACTATTGTAATTCGGCAGAAATCCCATGGACCATTGAATATACTACTACTGAACACTATCTTGTAGTTGTGTGTCACATACTCAGACACGTCAGTGTAATTGAAATACAGAATATTGATTCTCCATTTCTTGGATGTTTAACCAAACAAATTAATGTGCATATTTCTAATTGGGATTCCTTATTCACTTATCAAACTCGTTTCCGTGGCAAACAACATCCAGTCATAGTTGTTTCCTATTTAACAACAGAGGGGCTACTGATAACATCGAGTGGGAATCTTAAATATTCCGCTACGTTGCTTGATGAAAATATTGTAACTTCAACACTTATTGAAGGTGAGTTACGATGATTCGCCGATATGTTATGGATCATTTAATGTTTCTGTAAGAGTAATATTGCAAAACATTCATCACAAATAACATTTGACTGATTCAACTACGAAATATGGCTTACACATAACTCATCACTATTTAAAATGGTATGCATGTCTAATCAGAGTGCACTATCAGTTGAGTGATAAATGAGAATTCTTAGGTACCAAACAGATGTTCTGTTTCAGTTTAAACAAACTATCACACGATGAGATCGAAATCTCTAAGCTGTAGCAGTCAGCGCAATAGCTACATGTTGCTAGCGATATATTAATAAACTAGGCATATTCAAATTTCCATTTTAATTCATTGGCAAAGTGACCGATCGCACACCAATTTTACAGAATATTGAAACTGTGATATTTGTTCTTGAAAAGTAGAGATGATTATTGCTTGTCGTACAAGGAAATTTGCAAGATTTGAATTTCGTTTTTCTATCTAGGATCAAACATGGATTACATTAAACCAACTGAAACCGAATACATTTTATGTTGTACGTGTACAAACTTTGTTCATTTCCCATAACGGTATGGAAAGAGAAAGTAATCCGGCCTCAATGTATTTCACAACAACAACTTGTAATAGACAAACAGAAAATTCCTATTCAAGTAAGTTTTATGTACTGTTTATGTGGATTACAGGAAATATCATGGTTGAGCTGCGTATGACAATAATTTATTGTACAGAATGGCGTAAAGTGGAAATCAAGAATTACTGACTACATGTTTCATCATTAGGTTGTAATTACTTGACAGTGTAATATTGTGACGATCAGTTAATTTTGTAACGTTACTTGGACAGTGAATCAATGACTACTAACAACTTGTTCGATTACGGGTATATACTTGTCATTCAATCAGCTTTCTATATTCACCGAATGAACCACTACAGCTACAGTCTAACAATGAAAAAAAATTCAAATTTGTTCATCCTATACAATCCAGAAATTTTCTACTGAGTAGACAATAGGTTTTATTTAAAACACTAATGTATTGATGTTAGTTAGTAAGAGTTACTCAGCAGACAATCCTTCATTACTCAGTTTTCGTCCTCGTCTGCCCTTGTAAGCGAGCCTATGTACAATCTTGAAGGAAATAATGCTCACTGTGGTATTCAAGTTTCCTCACATTCATAAACTGAGAAGTTACCACTGAGGGATTAAGGCAGTGATCTATCTGTGGGACTGTAATACTGGCATTCATCGACCACTGAGTATGAACCTACATACTGTTTGTTTCTTGCTTTAGTGGTGATCAAACGAATCTGATTCACTAATTTGAAAAAATGGTATTTTATATCAGGAAACCTGTTTGCTGAAATATCGGGTGTAGTTGATGGCATAGATTTTAATTACTGATTTGGCTTCACTTGGTTTCATTTCATGCTTTTAACAACTTCATGAAGAACTGTCGTAACCTGAAAGTGAATAACAGTTTTCTTTACGAAATGACTTCAACTGAAGAGAGACATTGGAAAGTCCTAAATCGTGATCCATCAGCAGTACATAACCAAAAGCCAACACTAATACAACACAGATCCTTTCGATCTCGCAACGGGAACAACACAAATATGATAGCCAGTCTCAATCAAACGGTATTTTTCGCAACTCAAACCAATATGCCTTTAGTAGATTCATAGTTTATTCGAATTCTCAACTCCTCAAATGGCTAGTCAAAACATTAGGAGGTGTGATGAGTTGTCACAGGTGTCCTTAATTCATGCTTGTCAATGTAGAATACGAGACTACATTCTGTCATAAAAAATTATCTCAATAAACACATATTTAGAACATGTTTGATACGAATTTGTGCTACTGATTAATGGTTACTTAATAATGATTTCTGAAAGATCAATAACCTTGCAGTAATCAATCGATCAACAGATATATTATTATTGGGCCTACATAGCGACGTTATGAGACAACTGATTAGAAGACAAATCTTCAGAACACGCAGATTACTTCGTGATAAGTTTCAAATTCCACTTTCTTACCTCTTTCTACTCAATGCAAATGTCTACATCAGTTAAATAGACATTGATTTCTCCATAAATGTTCCAAAATCAAGCTAGTAAAAAAGTACCAATACAAATTTAATTGTTATTTGTTTTTAAAGATGTTAGTAGATATCCTTAATTAACGCTTCTTTCATATTTTTAAAATTTTGTAGATAAATACATATATCGGAATTTCGTTTCACATGGTCGAGCAGCAGTTACCACCTGTGTCCTCATATCCACGATTTTCTCAGTTCTAGGCATTTATCTTTTGTAATTAAGCATATCATATAGTGCGTTTATCATCATGGTTGAAATGACAAAGTAGACTATTCTATGACGAATACGTTTTGTTCAATTTTATACACCATCACAACAGTGATTATTGAACATGTATAATTTGTAAATATTGATGCTAGAAGAGTACGTTTAGATTGACAAGAAATAAATCACTACTTGATTTCATACTAGTAGTTCATTTTGATATTGTCTCATGTTAAATATGTTTACAGATGTGGAATTCTCATGAAGTCTTTACAAGTTATGTGTGTTTTTTTCGATCAAAAATAGTAACTCGAATGTTTTGTTGACAATAAATATGGTAAGAGATCGGTATTCATATTAACAAGAACAGACTGTAAATGCGACGATCGTTTGGTGTCGAATGACTTGATGTATTATGTGACCGGACCAATATGAGGATGCTGATTTCGAGAGATTTTATGTGTACTTCAAAGAGTGATGCAAACAGTCAGTAGTCAAATTGTGACGAGCCTGAAAGTCGTTATTTTTATATGGGATTTAAATTGTTCAGAATTCGTAAACAGAACATTTATTATGTCTTTTCCATAATTTTCCACACTTCCTCAACACACTCAATCCTATTGACAAATATGTACACACTCAACAGTGAAATTCTCTCCCATCATTATATATTCTAGTCGAATGAATTGCGTGTCATTAAATAAATGAGGAATAACCGGGTAAAACTATCCTCCTAAAACTTTTGACCAACTTATCAGCCACTCAGAAAATATCATTTAATCAAAACTTAATGGATCATAAAATGAAGTAAAATTAGGTTGGGTAAATATTTTTCACATAATGAACAAGTGGAAAAGGTTAAGTTTGGAAAAAAGAAGTTTTGGATAAGTCACAAGTCAGGATGCGGTGGCTTCGGTAAGGGTTTTCATCACAGGCTAACAGCATCTATAATTACAGTACCACCTTTTTGGGGTTATTACATAGGTTTATGAGGGTTAGACAAAAAATTACTTATGATTATGCCTTGAAGCTCGTCAAGTACACCTAATGTGATATCTGCAAATTAAAGCCTAGATATATAGAATTCTAAAGCTCGAACTAATAAGGACATATTCTGTCCTGTACTGAGTTTTGGATCGTAAGCAAAATCCAGTAGTTATCTATGATAGTTTCCAAAAATCGTCACTATGGTACAATTTCACCTATAAGTGTTATCCTACCCTTTGATCAATCAATGTATATGTCTTAGTATAACAGTTTAATCAAATTGTTTGTTTTAAATAACTTCAAGATATTATTCAACATAGTGCATCGGCTATTGTATGACATTAAAGAGTGATAAAAGTTGAAATGGAATAGCTTTTTTATGAATATGTAGTATTTGATAAATTATTTATGATTAAATGATTTTTATTCATCGTTTCGTTGACCGAAAATGGCATCGATTCAGATTATTTCTCGTGTGTATGATCGTTTAATTATTCTCTTCTCCCCATTAGTCTAATTATTCAATTCACTCTCATGATGTGGTTGGGTGACTTCCTCAATGTGTATCCCATCTACCTCCAGCGCTTTTCCCAGTTCCTTCCTCAGATGGAGGCTGACTTTCTCTTCGACAATAGTCTATTGCTATTATTGTCTGGCAAACGGATTCTCAGTATCTTGCAAAGACAACTGGTAATAAACACTTGCATCTTCCAGATTATGGCTTTCGTGGTTCTCTAACCTTCTCTATGCAGTAGAAATGTTTTGACGTTCGTATATAAAACTCTGATTTCGGTACTAATTGACAATTATTTTGAGTCCCATGTTACCAAACTCTATGTAGTTGATATATAGTGGTGAGTTGCATTCTAGTGAATGTACGACAATGATTCGCAGTGTTACGACCAGGTTGGTACACGAATCGGTCATGAAGTTCACTTACCACTGAACCTTGCATTTATTACAGAGATATACAAACGAAGACTAATTTATATGTGCATCTTTTTCAAAGTTATGAAGAATGTGAACTCAGTATTGAATGCTGAACTAAATGTAACTGAAGTAAGAAAAATGTCTCGCTTTTATGGCACCTATCTGGGTGTTACGCATGCACGTAAACACGTCAACTTGATATGCTTGGACTATTACGAGTTTGTCTTGGTCGGAAAGCGAGAGCGAGGATCGAGGATCTGGTGACACGACATGCTACTCTAATCCGAGTTTCCCAACCGTCATTGAGTGAAAGAAGAAGTCTTGATATAAATTAGAACCTGTATTCTACAAGCAACCAGACAGTACAAGGCCCGAGTCCAGAAGAAAATCAGGATCCCGGAATAAGGATCCGGGTCCGGGTCTGGGCCATAAACCGTTACAGATAATGTGTATTTATACATTTGGGTCGAATAGGAAACAGCATCGAAATCTGTGACATTGACATTTAAGATGACCAATACGAAACAACATTGGAGTACCTGACATTGATATCTCGGACGATCATCAAATTGACCAGTAGAAATTAATCAATAGGATTCGACTAATAATTCTCAGGATATTGGATGAATATCCTAACACTGGGTACTTGAAAATAATAAAAGGAATGAATCTCTTGTGGTCATAGTAAATATTGCTAGAGGTCAGCAACCTATTTCACTCCACAGGTGGCGTCAAACATCTTCACCAATGTCATTGTCTTCACCCTATGCTTAACAGCTGATCACGTCACAGTTAGGTTATTGAAATAACACAGAAAAGGAATCAATAACGAATTAGTTTTTATTGCAATTATTTGTTTGCCTAAGTGTTTGATTTTTTTTCGTTTCTTTTTAAATCAGTTTAATGGTGAAATCCAATAACGCCATAACAATAGTTTACACTGTGATATGAAGCAAACAGTTTGTCATGAGATTAGATAATAATATGGAAAGCCAATCAAAAGCAATCAGAAATGGCTTAAGGGATAAACCCATACCATTAGCCAAGAAATGGATTGTTTTTCGAAGAGGAAGAAATATATATGTATAAATGAGTATTTATGCTTGTTGACTAGTAACCAAATAAACATTCTGTTTTTACTTTTACCTTTTAGATCAGGAAATCGATTTGTGGAGTTAGCGAATACAAAATTTAGACTTTATAAGCCGCATATCACAACAATTATTAATTGGAATTCTCTAACTAGTTAACTGAGTATAATGTCAATCGCAAAATGAATTAACTTTAAACCGTCATAACTGCCAATGACTTGTTTCATTTTTATCATTTCATTTCTGCCTTTATTTATAATTCAATACATTGAATGAAATTAATTTCATCGGTTTAATTCATAGCCAATAATGGTCTTATTAGTTTTTGAACTTATTTGAATATAAATGTTGTTGCAGAATTTCATCACAGTAGTAAGTGTGAACTTCATATTATCAACATCTTTACATTAAATAATCAATTCATTGACAGTGATAGTGATTAGTTTTTACA